CCCCACCCACCCCCGGCTCAACTAGCAGGCTGCTGAAAGAGAAGCTCCATCTATCTTGTGAGGGATGATAATAGCTCATTTCAGATGCTGTTCTTTGCAGTCTTTTGCATGTAGTAATGGCTTCACACCATGCAAATAAAAGTATGGTGCGTTGAGCCTTATGATGAAAAGGGCTTCCTTTTGAAGACAAAAAGCTCCTAATGATGGTGGCTCTCTCCTCATTTTTCTTCCTTTCATTCATCACCTTTTCTCAACAGATGTAAGGAAAAAAGCTAGTAACTTCCAGAGGAGAGGAAGTCAAAACACAACTCTCAACCTAGGAGGAAGACATACAAGACTTTTCTCCACTGTTATTTTAGGACTTCCCAAAGCTAATCTGTGTCTCCTCACCTTCCCACTCCCTTTTCATCCCTCCTGCTGCTCATTTCAGTGCTGAGATGAAGCAGTATGTCTCTCCAGCAGTGAATCACTGCAAGCTTTTTGTGTCTAACCATAACTCTGACCTCTAGCATCTGTGTTGCTTCAGGGCTGAATCATCCGAACCTGGATGCATTAGCTGGACAGAAAGGACAGTCTCTTTTTCACTATTTCATAATTACATCAGTTCTACACATTAGGCCATAACCCCTTTAGAAAGAGATATCAATGTATGTGTACAGAGAAAAAAAAAGTGTGTGTGACTGAAAAACAGCTTTTCTCTGACACTAATTGTTTTCCGAGAGCTTTTGCTTTGAAATTCTTGGTAATAATTAATGGAAATGTTTTAGCATGCAATCTGATGTTGGCTGTTTCAATATCACCCAGTCCATCTGGTGCATTTTTCTTCATCTCTGCAACTTCTTGTTCCAGGAGAAGTATCACCTCTCTCTCCATCCTTTCTTACATAAATGTACTGTGCTGAGCAGCTTTCCCTAATCCATGGCCAAGATATTACGATCACTGTTTTTTACAGATACCTCCCCGGTGTATTTCCAGGCAGGCAAGAGGCAGCTGTACCTCTGGGTACTTGTTCAGCCTTTACAAAACAGCACTTCAGGGCTATGGTGTAGAGTAGTTCTCCATCCTTGGGTCTGAACCTTCCCCTTTCTAGACCTGGAGAAGGCCTTCCAGACAGGTTTCCCCCAGAGAGAATGGCTTAGCATAAGAAACAAGCAGAGGGCCCTTCTTCCTTCTACAGGCAGTGCCAAGATCTTCTACCGGGCCGTGCTATTCCAAGCAGGCTGCAGAGGACACAGAAGATGCAGAAGAAATGCCATCAGCATGGGGCCCTGCAGCATGATTCAGGGAGGCTGAGGGTGGGGGCTGGGCAGGTGGCCCACATGGCTGTCAATGAGCAGGTACCAGAGCTGAAGGAAGGCACCGACTGCAATTTTCTGCAATGCCAGAGTCAAGTCTGTCTTCAGAGAATGCGTATGATCCGTTCTGTCAGGTGGCTGCAGTGGTAGGTGACTTTCTCAGAGCAGATTTAAAATTTTTCACAGCCCTTTTTACGCTGACCACTGAGCCCCTTGTATCCTTTGCTGGAAGAGGGCAAATGTCAGAAGACCACACAGATTTGGGGTCTTCCCTCACCTGCAGCATCCTTCATAGGCAGCGAGGTGGGTCTGCAAAGCAGGGCTGTGGCCGTGGCTTTGTTTTGTCACGTGGCACTCGGCTCCCACTCGGTCTGTTTTCCCCTGCAGCATCTCCCACTCGCCACTGACAAATAAAGCAGAGCTGAGTGCAGAGCCGGTGGGGGGCTGACAGATGGCCCCGTGAGGCTGATCATCATATTTTGCTACCCGTCTTTTGTTTCTTTTTTCTTTTTTTCTTTGCTTCCTGTCATTATTCAGTTCATTCCCTTTTAAATCTTTCTTCACATCCCTCTTTATCCCAGTCAGTCACCGTACTCCCTGTTATAAGGGAGGCATCCCAAGGACGTTGTATGTGGCATCTGTTACCACATATGGTACATCTGCTGCTTCAGGGAGCTCTGAGTGTTTCTGCCTCGCACTCTTCCATGTGCACCTGTGTATGTGCATGTGTGGGATGTCGGCTCTTCAGCTGCCCCCTTAAGCTAGGACCCCGTCTGATGCAGTTTGTGTTAGCAAATACATAAAACAAGCATTCTGGATGGCTGACAATTTATTTTCTGAGCAAATGGTCCCCTGCAGATAGGATTGCTATAAACTTTAATAGGCTGTATGACAGCCACAGTTGGAAGCTGCTAGATGTTTTCAGCTTTAGGGTGTCTTCGTCACCTCAGCCAGTGCGCCATGCATTTAGGTTTGTATGAACTGAAGCCCTCAACTTCATCTGCCTATAATCAGGGTGATGCATAGCATAAACAAAGAATTGGCAAAGCTCACTTCCCTCTACACTCCAGCTGGTCTGCATTGATTTTCATTAATATTGGTCTACTGGAGGTATTTCTGAAATCTGTTATCATCATGATGTCTCTAGTATCTCATGGTTTTATGGATTACTTATTTTCCCACATGAAGAACTTACAGTCAAAATCAGATCTGTTAACTAAAGTTATTTTATGAAAGAGGAAGAACTGGAACAGAAAGAAAGGGAGGGGAGTCACAGAAACACTTAGGGAAGGGTTTCAGAAGAAGGGAGAGGCAAAAGGCAGATTTTCGACAACTTCCCACCTCATACAATTGGAAATATGTGCTGCAACTCATTTTTGCTAGAAAGTTTTCCAAAAGTTATCATGTCTGAATTGGGTAATGAGTTAGAATCTGTCTGACTCTGATGTCTTTATGTTCCCTGCCAAGTGACAAAGTGCAGGGGAACAATGAAGAAAAAAGGAGTAATCTTAATTTTTTAAAAATGTCTGTGTCTTTTTTTTTTTTTAATTCATTGGGAGAATCAACAAAATATGTTGGCCAAAAGGGAAAATTTATTTATTATTGTAATTTTGGAAGGAGAGACAGGAGGGGGGATACAATTTTTTAAATGCAAACCTCTATTGAAAATGAGCCTTATATTTCAAATGTGCAAGGTGCCCTCTTGGAAACCTGGTGAATTTTCAGCTAGGTGGAAAGTGTGCCTCTCAGCAAGTGATAGGCAAATTCACCCTTCCCAAAACAGATGGGATAAATTATCCCCTGAAAAGCTTTTCTCTCTCTGTTGTTTATGGAGGGAACCTAAAGAATTAGTGATGACCAGATATGTAACTTTTACTTGGCTAAAGATGAGATGAGCCCTGACTTCCTGAAAAGAGGAATGAAGTGAGGTAACATAGGGGAGGAGAAAGTGGAAGGAGGACTGGACGGCAGGAACTGAAGGTATGAAACTGCAGAGCAGAGGTTTTTGGCAGCCTGAGAATCATAGAATAGCTAGGAAAAACCTTTAGAAAGGATTTAGGAGGTGATTTGATGGTTAAATTGGGAAGGACTAATACGAGTTTTCTGCACAGGAGCTCTCCAGGACTGCTGTGAGCTCTGTTAGCACAGGGACTAACTGGGGGTTAAATGGTGGGGATCAGTCTTACCGGTTTACAGGTGGAGAAATTGAGATACAGCACAATTATTTAGCACATTGTTCTCCTTCAGCCACATGTTACTGAGTATATTACTGTTCTTTGTACACCAAAGTGATCACTTCTTAGCAGAAAATTTTGGCAAAAGGTTTATCTAGAAGGACTTAAAATAGTATGGGGGAAGGCATTAAAATAGCCATAGGCCCAGAAACCTGTAAATGTCTAAATTGTTAAGTTTTGCTTTAACACTGTCCCTTTAATGGCTTTTGATAAGCTCTTGCATGCCAGTACCTCCGTTTCAGCAACTGTGAAATAGCATTTATAATGCTGTTAATGCATTTTTTCAGGGGAGCTGAGGGAATTGGTTAATATGTTGGACAGAAGTGTTTATCAGGGTGCCAGGCTATTTGTTGTGCAAGGATTTCTTGTATTAATTTCGCTGTCTGGCTTTCTAGGGAAGGATATGGCAGCAGTGCAGAGAACCTTAATGGCTCTAGGCAGTTTGGCAGTTACCAAGGACGACGGCTGCTACAAAGGAGATCCATCCTGGTTTCACAGGTAAAATCCAAAGCACAGCTTCCCAGAGCTCTCTTCCCAGGGAAGCTGGTAATATTATATGCCTTTAGGCTTTATGGAAATTTATTGGGAAAGGAAAGTAAGAACCTTTCCAAAATTTCCTTGTCATGGAGAGATTTTTCTCTCCAGAGTATAGAGGAGGGAAGCAAAGACCCAAGCAGGCACCAACATTTTCTACCTTGGCTCCCGGACTTTATCAGCATCACTGCTAGGTCCACATTTTACCATAACTTAACAGCCTAAAGTTACACCAGAGCTGCTGGGAAGGGTCCCTGTGGGAGCTGTGTAATGCAGCTGTGTTGCTCCGTTTTCTTATGTATCCCCCCCTCACTACACCTTATGTGTCCCTCCTGATCCAGAGCTGGAAAAGCACTGCTGGTACTGGGATTAAGGAGCCTATTGCCCATGGCTCCAGCTCTGGTTTCCTCCCGGAGGCACCCCTTTCAAATGAGGCTGTGTTGTGAGCATGTGTGTGTGCACGCATGGGGACCCTACTGGATGGCTGGCTTTTGGTAGTGTACACAGGGAGGAGTGCAGCATCCTGCTCCATCGTGCTGTGGTGAGGGACTCACATTGATCACTGAAAAAGAGACAACTTTCTTGTCCACTGGTGTTATCCTTAGAAGGATAGCAATGATAGATAGGAAATTCAGCCATCAGTTTTGATGCTATTCATCTATTTAGCAGTTTCAGCTAATCCTCTATATCCATTTATGAAAAGGGAAGAAAAATGGCAGCAGCCATGCAGATATGTGTGTCATAAGAGTGTCTGGTAGGAAAGATGTACTTTTGCCTCACATCAGATAACAGAAAGAGTAATGAAGACAAGGCTGTCATAGATGTCAGCAAGCCCCCCCTAAAGTGCCCCTTTACTGAGCAAAGAGAAAGCATAAAGCCTCTTCCCATTTTTCATCAAACCAAAAATGATTTCATTTTCTAGTCGTCTTCTTTTCTTGGAGAGTATCACTTATCTGTGAAGAACTCTGCCTTGGCAAAGCTGTTCATTTGCTCTAAAACTCCATTTGTTTTGGCTAGGGAGACTGAGAAGCAGGGACAGGAAGAAAAGGAAATCTTCCCACAGTTAACCCTCCTGCCCCACAGGCATATTATTGACATGAGATCCCACCATCCAAGAGTATTTCTAATGCTGAAATATCTGAAGCATGTTAGCAAAAAGAGTGCTGGCTACTTCTCTTTGGTTTCCATGAATTTTCTGATGTCCAGGTGAGGCTCAGCAAAAGCAAAACAAACTTCACTTGGTTTGTCTTAAACCTTGAGCTGGGTTAGGTGAGGCTGAGACCTGAATTTTAGATGAGTAAGTGCAAACTCCTATGTATTCTTTATATGAAATTAGTTTAAATTAACTTAGTACAGTCCCCAAAGAGATTTGTATTTATTGAATATAATTGGGTTTAAAATTCAAATCCAGTTACAGGCTTTAATATAAACCAGACATGAAATCGCTATGACTCAGACAGGCTTATTTGTTTTATGTAACTAAAACAAAGTCCTACGTGGAAAAATTATTTTTCATCTGGACTTTTAATTGTAGGTGGGAACGATTTTCATTGGCATAAATGAAGATGTGATCACCTCCCTTCTCCCCTAGCTGTGTGTCGTGTCTGTACTGCTCAGATAGCCAATCCGTACCTACTGCAGACCCTAAAGTAGCATTTTATAGCCACTGCCTTAAGGAAAACTGATGTTATTTCTATAAAGAAATAACATATGGCAGATCAGGAGCTGTCTTCTGAGTAGCTTACCCATCCCTTCAGGCAGATCAAGCCCACTCACTGCCACCCAATGTTAGTCATGAGTCAGGGCTTTCAGGCTGATTCTTAATCGCCTTAAATTACATTGAAAGAAGTCAAGATTAAATGGAATGAGAGTATCCACGCTGGGATCTACAGTGATTATAATATCCCTACACTTGAGCTAAGCCATTTAACTTTCCATTACCAGTCTCTCACGTACCCAGTCCCACCAGTCCTGATTCCCCCTTCCTTGCACAACCTAGCGGGGTGCTGGGACCCGTGGCTGTCTGTTGTCTTGTGGTTTGGCAGCCACAAGCACTGATGCAAAGTTGGCATAAAATGTTAACAGATCTGCAGGGTGGGCTCAGTTTGCAGTAAGGGTGTTGCCAGGTGATGGCATGCAGGCCAAACAGAACTTGAAATAAGGTGAGACAGTGAGGGGAATAGACTTGCCCTCACCAATTTTTCTACAGTCTCAGTTAAGGCCATTTCCACCAACCTGAAGGCAAATCGTAAGTATATGTTGTTATCTGTAAGACCATCATATACTAAATGTGGTGCTTATGATGGTAACATAACACTGTATGATCCAAACTGTCTATGTAATCAACTTTTATTAGCATATCCAGACTTCCCTTTGGCCTCTCTTTTTATTTCTTCTCTGCAATTCTCTTTTTATTTCTTCTCTGCAATTCTCTTTTTTTTTTTTTTTTCCTGTTCAGAGATAACTTTTCAACTTTCTGTGGAATGACTTCACAACACAGCTGCAAATTCTAGGACAGAGAAAAAAAATAATAGAATGTGTTCTTGGCATTTTAATTAAAATAAAGGCAGACACAGTGAACCTGAGATTCAATTAGGTAATAGGAGTAGTTCTAAAAACATCCTCTCTTGGAGATCCTGGCAGTAGTTCGGTGCCTGTGTAAGGATTCTGGAAAAGAAATTAAGCAGCAGTGAGAGGGGGTTACTTTCTGAGGCACCCAAAGTTCTGTGTGCCTCTCTCTAAAATGGGATGTTTTCTGACAAGAACTGTGGGATCTGAGAGCCTGCGATGGGCTTCTGTAAGCCCTCTTGTTAGTCTATACAGTAACACTGGATACCCGTTCTGAAAAATGACAGGTCAGTGCTGGTCTTCTGTGGACCTTTCTGGTTTGCTGGGCTTTCATGCAGAGAGGGGTTCTGCAGTGACCTGAACTGCCTGAGCCTGGCAAAGAGTTTAAGTGCTTTTCTGGGCTGGAGCCAGGGTGTTCAGCACAGTACAGGATCAGACCCTCCCAGAGAGGATCATGTTGATGGTTTTCAGTCACAGCAGGCACCTAATCTAGCATTCACATCTAGCGGTGGGGTGGGGAGAAAAGGGGAATTGTAACTTGATGAGATGTTGCAGAGTAAACCGATCGCAGGACAAACAGACACAGCAGGGGGGATTGTACCTGGGTGGGAGTAGAGTCTGGCTGATGGAAAGCCTCCCTCAGTCTGGGGCTTTGCTGACTCTTGCAGCTTGTTTGGCAGCAACAGACTGATCCTTCTCCCTTCCAAATGACTTGTTTTCCCGGCCTTGTATAAATGAAGGATTGATCTAATACGAACAGTTTCTTGCAAGGCAGCAGAGTACAAACTTTTGTGCTTCTTCTTAACTGCCACTTTTGCCCTGGGTGCTATTTGCAGGGGAACGAGTCTCCTTTTAAACTACAGCAAAGGTCTTTTGAGACCAGGGACACAGAACAAAAGTGCTCAGTATGTTTTGACAGAAGATAAAAGACTGTCATACATTTAAGACACAGGTGCAAAGGGCAAAGTCTATTGCTTAGGAGAGAGATCTGGAAATGGCAACAGAGCAATTGTTCTGTCCTGCGGGCAACTATCATCCACTCTGCAAAAATGAGCGTCACTTCTCTGTCCCATTCTTTCTCTGGGTATAGTCAGCTCTTATTTACTACACGGAGTTAAATAATACTGATTTGTACTGTTGCTCTAGATGGCTATCAACTTGTATTACAGCACAGGTGGGTGTCTCAACGATCAGATCCCATGGACTACATCTTTTAAGGGCTACAGGGCTTAACACGAATTAATCCTATCATGACTACATGATACAGCACTACATAAATAATTCACCTGTCATAGCTGCTGAGGAAGTCCCTTGGGGTTCTGCAGGAAGTGCTACAGTGAAAGTCTGAAGTGTAGTTGGTTTGACTAGAGTATTACTTCTAACTGCAGGAAAGCAATTAGCCCAGCCAGTATGGTCCAGCCCATGGGATCATGCAAATGAAATATTGCATTACAGGGGACACACACGTCTGTTAACATGAGACAATTTCAGATTGCTTTTCATGATCCTCTGGGCATATGCAGAATGATGGTATATTGCTTTTTTGTCTGCATCTGGACAGGAAAGCACAGCAGAATCGACGAGGATTTTCAGAAGAGCAGCTTCGTCAGGGACAGAACGTAATAGGCCTTCAGATGGGCAGCAACAAAGGAGCATCACAGTCGGGTATGACAGGCTATGGGATGCCAAGGCAGATTATCTGAAAGCATCTCTGCCTGTAGAGAAAACACTCCTTCTGCAGCATGGTCTGTTAAAAAAAAAAAAAGAAAAAAAAAAAAAAGAAAAAAAATCTTGTTAGTGCCCTTTCTGCCTGGTTTTTAATAGTTAGCGCTCTCTACGGTTTGGGGTATTTTTGGTTTGGTTTGTTTTATTTGCAGCTACAAGAGTTCATCTAGGAACTTCGGGTTTCGTGGTGGTGTGTGTCAGTTCACAGCACGTGCGCACTGCTGCCTCCTACTTTTCACTTCTGAACTATGCAACGACAATTATTCTGTATTAATTTATTTGCAAAGTGTTATCTTCCATATTTGTCTTACACCGCACTTGTATTTCAACCAATAACCTCGTTCTTAAATTCAGTGATGATATTGTTTGACCTAAGAATAAATGCAAATTAAACATACTTCGTAGACTCATTATTTAAAGGAGCTAAAAGCAAATAAAACCAATGACCATATGGTACAGTGCTGAGGAGTTAAATGTTTTGAATGTGTGATCTGTCTCATCTCTTAACTCAGAGCCATCTCCAAGTGACTCCTTGCTATAGTTTTCACAGTCTGTGTTCCATGTTCAAGTTAGTGTTTGTCTAAAGGCCACACCCAATGTAAGATCCCAAAAAGAAGAAAAGATATATTATCTATTGAGTCTGATTCATGTAGTCCCACCCAATTTAGCTTGGATTTCCCTTGACCTAGTGTGCTGGGTTGACTCCAGCCGGCAGCTGGGCACCCACACTGCTGCTCACTCACTCCCCTGTTAAGAAGGCGAGAAGACTTAGAGATAAAATCAGTTTAATAGGGAAAGCAGAAGCTGTGTGTGAAAGCAAAGCAAAGTAAGGAATTCATTCACTGCTGCCTGTTGGCAGGCAAATGTTTAGCCACATCCTGGAAAGCCAGGCCTCAGCGTGCATTATGGTTACTTGGGAAGATAAAAGCTGTAACCACCAACGTCCCCCCTTCCTCCTCCTTTTCCCTGAGCTTTGGTTGCTGACCACGACACTGTATGTACAGGATAAGGATAGCCCCTTGGTCAGTTGAGGTCAGCTGTCCCAGCTGTGTCCCCTCCCAGCCTCTTGCCCACCCCTGGCTGTGGGGGCAGAATGAGGAAGGGAGAAAGCTCTGTCACTGTGCAGGCACTGTTCAGCAATAGCCACCACGCTGGTGTGTTACCAACACTGCTTTAGTTACAAATCCAAAGTGCAGCACCCTGTGGGCTGCTGGGGAGAAGGTTGCCTCCATCCCAGCCAGGCTCAGTACACCCAGCAGCAGGTGAGTCTCCAAACTCGGGGAATTCTTCACCCTGAGAGGACAAGGTGTCAGAGGTGAGAACAGGCTTTACCTTCTGAGAGCTGATTGATATCAAACAAAATGCTGCAGAACAAGCTATGTTTTGAATGCAAAGGAATAAATAGAAGAAAAATGTGCCAGAATGCTTCTGACCTGGAAAATGCCCATTGTTCAAATTAAAATACACACCAGTGATGGGCTGGTAGTTCATTTTGGGACAGTTTGCTGGAGAGTCAATAGAACAACTGCTTGCTGACACAGTCTTCTGGCCACAAAAGCTTACCAGGGCAGGTTCCCCTGCTAGTCTGTGCAGGTTGCCTCGCAGCTGTGTGGCACATATATATGCTCGAGCGATACACGCTATTTTCTCTGCAGGGTTTTCTTCCTGGTGTTAACTATCTCTTCCAGCTTCACTCACAAAGCCTGATTGCTTCCTCCCTCCAGGCAAGTAGGGAGGGAAATATGATAATCAAAGTTTTTAATACATGATAGACATCCACGAAGGCATGAAAACATAATATCTGTGCAGGTAACAAGTGAAGGGTAATCTGTTCGGACAGCTGTCCAACTGTACCAACGTGGGGATGACTTCTGCCATCTCATGCTGCCGTGGGTCCGAACCTAGTGACACGTGGTGGCAGATAGTTGCCCACTAAGTAGCCCTGGAGCAGTGACACACAGACTGATGTGGGTTCACAAGTTTCTACCAGTGTGGAAACTGAAGGGATGATTCCCCCAGCTCAGCTGAATCTCTATCCTCCCTGTCAGGAGGAAGATGGGAATAATACTTGCCCACTTCAGTACAGCTTTGCTGAAGCACTCTGGAGCACAGCAAGCGAGAAGTGCTATCAAGGTCACATTGCACCGCTGGGGCTGAGGGGATCTATAGCAGCTGCTGCTGAAAAGGTCCTGCCCCCACTTGTACCTTGTCTTACACCTGTCAGGACATCGTGGCTCCCCCACTGTGCTCTTGTCAAGCACTTTTTTTTGTGTATACTACCTGTTTAGGGCTATTTTCCTGTTACGTAGGTGAATTAGCTCAGCACAGGATTAGATGACCAGCCCAGATAGTGCATTCTGGGGTAGGAGCTCAGCTTTCAGCTGTGGTGGGGAGTTACCTCAGTGGAAAGTATAACACGTAACTTCCCCCTAGTTATTACATTAGGTGTCATGTGAAGAGAATAGCAGTTTTTCTTACTAAAAACCAATAAACTGATTAAAAAAAAAAAATCTCTGAACTTCTCTGGGCTGGCAGAATGACAAACAACTGCCACCAGTAATTTCACCTTGTGGATGTGAACAACAACCATCTTCCCCAAATAGAAACGAGAAAGTCACAGCCACAGCAAGAGAAAAACCATGCTCCGGTTAAGTGTTCTTTCGTCAGAGTTATGTTTCCTAATTAAACGTGTTTTCATTAGGTTTGGCATTCTAACAGTCCCATTGAAGTTACAGAAAACATTGTGTGCTTGCACAGCCAAAAAAAAAAAAAAAAAAACCAACAACCCAACAAAAAACCCAAAACAACCAACAAAAAACATAATAATTTTAGCAAATGGTATTAGCAACAACAGCTAAGTGCTCCGTAAAATCTACACCCTGTGGCTGCAGACACAGGAACTGGTTAGTGCAGGAACAACAACAACAGAAAAGGTTAATCCCCAGGATCTTATCTTTTGTAACTCCTCTCCAAGCTCATAACACATTCTTTCATTACCTTAAACTGTTAAAGTAATCTAGTGGTTAATATCTGGCAGAAGATGCTGCAAAGCATACTTTATTCTGTGTGTTAACCTTAGCCTTCCATATTCCCATATGATGGGTATAGAAATATTAGTGTAATTATTAATTAAATATTACCATGCTCTGGCCCACTAGTGTCCTCCTATTAAGACATCCTTACTGCCGAGTTTACAAATGTCTTAACCTAGAAGGAAATTAATATAGTACCAGGCTAGTTTAGTAACCAAGTTAGCAGGAAACATTATCGCTTTTCTGACATTAACAATAAACTGTTGTAAATTTGTTTCTACTGCATCAAAAACACTTATACAGGCCTCCCAGAAGCCTAATTAATCTCTGTGACAACAGTCTGCATTGTTACTACTAAAAGCCTTGATATCTATTAGAAAAGAGCCATTCAGGAGGTTTGAACACACACTGAAGGGTATGGTTTAAGTGTGCTGGGCGGGGGGTGTGTGTGTGTTTCCTCTCCTAGCTAGTAGGCTCTCTAATGCTTGGGGGAGGGTTCCTTCCGTGGATGATGAACAACATCTCACTTAAGGCTGTGGACTCAGTTTGACAGCAAGTATGAGCTAAGATAAGACCCCTCACATGCTGCCTATAATGCTTTTTGAAGCCTGGCTGTAGCTTGGTCAGCTATCCCACCTTAAAACCAAAATAAGTTTTTTTGGTGAGAAAGTGCTTTAAATATGCTCCCCTTCCACAGTTGTACCAAAGGAAGCCCTGTCATAGCAGGCTGGACCAGGAACATCTTAAACATTGCTGCCCTTGTTCTTCAGTTTGCTATACTTGTAGAAAGGTAAGTGACATTTATCTGCCTTCATTAAGGTTTTGAGAGCACGTCCTCATTATGGACAATTGCTTAGTAACTTTTTTTTGACATTAAGGTGGTGTCAGCCTTCTGAAAGGATGCTAGGTGTGTGAGTGAGGAAGGACCACATGCATGAGCATGGAATCCAAGATTATCCCTGTTTATAAGGAGAGCAGAAAGAAAATACAATGAACAGAAAGTCAGCCAGTTCAATTAGGCTGGAGCTTGAGGCTAACATAACATGAAGTGTTTTAAATAAAGCTAATGAGGGTGAATGGCATGGAGAGGCTTCGTTCGTCAGTAAACTCATCTGTAGCATCGCTTTGCAATATGTGTCTTCTGACAGCATCCCCTGCACTCTGCAGGGGTGTGAGGAGAAGGTGCTGCTGGAGGCAGTGGGCACCAGCTGACCCTTCACTTCTGCCTGCAAGGTGCCCTCCCCGCTAGAAATGAGCTTTAAATATCTTGAGAAGGGAAGTGAGCACCTTTAGAGGAAAGAAATGCAGCCATTTACTCTAAGCTTGTCCTGTGACTGCCAGGATATTTCCTGAGCCAGGGAGTGAGGGGGCACCATGGCTGTGGGTAAGTGTGTGTGCACAGACCACCAGGGAGTGAGGGGGCACCATGGCTGTGGATAAGTGTGTGTGCACAGGACCCCCCCCTCCAGATAGTTTGTCTTCTATAAACTTAAAAAGAAACACAAAAACTGATTTTATCATGCACCCGTAAACTAAGGAAAACAAACTGTGACACCACAAATTTAAGGCAATCCCCAAGCAGAAGAGAAGAGGAACAGACAATTTTGTTAGCACACATTTTGCACACAGTATACTCTTGACTGGAAACACGTCTTTCCTCTGAGGGGCTTGGTGTCCTGTAGAAAAGGCAAGTGACATGGGCACAAAGGCAGCACAAGCGACTGCTAGGAAAACATGCACAGGCAGCCACCTGTCCCTACTCTAACAAACAGATTTACTTACTTAAACTTTACTGAGGTTGTTCTTCCCACCTGAATCTCCAAAATAAAAACACCACATTTCTGTGACTAAGCTCAAGCAATAGAAAAACATGAGGTAAAATGGGAGGGGGGGGGGGAAATATGAAGAAAAAAAAGGTATTAAATGTTACTATAGGGTGAAAATCA